CACAAAACAACCATCTCACAACAGTATTCCAGCAACTTATCTATTGAAAACACATCTTAGTCTTTTCTTTAACATGTTGTCCAGTCAAGTATCAGTATAATACCCAGCAATAATTTCATCAAAAACACAAGTCAAGCATCATCCTACCCAGCCGAGTGTGTATAGTTACAATTAACAAGCAAATGCATCCCACTTAAAAACTCAATCAAACACTTCAGGGATTCATCCAAAAACATGTAAAAGAAAACAATTTAAGCAATCTTCACATCTAGCTCAAATATCATCAAAACATTAAATTGGGAAACCACAGTAACATGCAAGCATAGATCTGAATTTTTTAAGAAAAGTATTCGTTTAATCCACTCACAAAAATTTCAGCTCAACCCAAAATGCCCAGTTGCCTCAAGCATCATCCCTCTCCTCTCCACCACATAACCCAAATTGACAAAATTGAATTAGAATTACACAATTGAAGAAAATGGTGAAATGACTCACTCTAAAAACTACATGCATGATACAATTTCTACAAAGATTCGTGTGATCTCCCTTCATCTTTACTTGGCCAACACTTACCTCATTTTCTCTCCCTCATTTCCTTGCTTCTTTCTCTCTTCTTTTCCTCCTCTCGGTTTTCTTCTTCTATCGTTTTCGGCAAAACTGCCCATTTTATATATTTCAAACTTTTAAAAATTCAAAAGCTCCCCTGAAATTCAAGTAATTTTCTTAAAACCCCGTCACATCAGCTTTCCCTTGTAAAAACCTCCAGACTTTGTCCTCTTGATACATGCAAACCTCGCTTCCATTTACTTCATTTTCACCCCCAACAAAACTTTGAAGAACTGACAGAACAGTCCCTTCTTATAAACTAACCATAAAAATAAAAATATGCATACTTATAAAAAGTTAGAATGGGGTCTTACAATCACTGGCACCTTTAGTGTGCAAGAGGACTGAAAATTCAGGCATAAAAGAATTACAGAAAAGTGTTGATAGATTGCTGCAAAAATCTATTTTAGCACAGTAAAATAGTTCCAGCATTTCCCCAAAAATGACAAAATCTTCTTTGCAAAAATGTATAAATGGGGACACTAATGAAGCCATGACAAATAAAGTAAGAGAATGATGTGAAACATACACCAGACGATGAGGATGAACAGCCATTATTGATTATCTTTAATTTCTTAATGGAAGTTTAATGGAGATTGAACACATATTTATAAAATCCCTGCTGTAAAACAATGGCTAAGTGCGCTGCCTTGTAAGACTTTTGTTTTGTTTTTTTTTTATAATTATTATTATTATAAAGCGGGCCCAAGCCTGAAAACTAGCTCACGTTCGACGTGCATGGCTAGGTCCAAACCCAAGATCCACCTCCTTCACACTCAACGTGTTACACCAAGTCCAAACCCATAACCCACCATCACCCCAAGCAGGGACATAGCCAAAAATAAAATATAAGGGTGTCAAAGTTGGAAGAATAATACAATTTTAAATTAAAATAAGCATACGTAAGACCATCTCTAACTTATTGCACCAAATTGGTGCAAGTTTCACACCAAATTGGTGCAGTGGGTTAGAGAAACACTATTGCATCTCTAACCCACTGTATCAAATATTACACCAAAAAGAATATTCTTTAGAATATTTTTTTTCTTTTTCTTTTAGTGTAATAATCAACAATTAATCTATTTCACTCATTATTTTTGTATATATTAATTAAATATTGGGAATGATATTTTTATTAAATAATAATTACTTTTAAAATTATACTAATTTAATATAATTAAATATTTATTTAATCAAATAAACATTATATTTAATATAGAAAAACATTACATCTAATATAAAATGGTATCCACATAAATTTAAGGTTTTATAAACATTAACATTGTTAAGGTGTCACTCTCATCATGTTTAGGGGAATACTATTTCTTCCATGAAAGAAACTATTTTCCCAAAACCTTGTCAACAACACATAAGTCTCCTGTAATTTCTTGGAATGTCAAAGTTACAAAAACCTTATCAGTTTAGCTATGTCTTTCAAGTTGAACATTCAAACTTTTTTCTGGGAAGCATTTCGAAGAAATTGCAGACATATATATGTTGACTTCAAAATATTAATATGTGGGTTAATAACAATAATTCCCCTTAGGTATAACCAAACAATAAACAAACCAACCCCCAAGACCCCCCCCCCCCCCGCCCCCCGTCTCTTTTAGTGATAGAAAATAACATAAATCCCCTATTTTTTTTAGTGTTAAAATAAATGGCAGAGGGGTATTTAAGTAAATATTCATTGACCTAGCATATTATAAATTCTAAAAAAAGAGTTCAATAATGGCTAACTAAAGGTAGGAGGATTTTTATCATTTCTAAAATCTCAAGGGAACCTAATTCGTTGATTAAACCTCAGGAGTTAAAGGAAAAAAACCACTTAATCAATCTAGTGTAAACAAAATAATCAGAGATTAGAATCAGAGGTTTAACATCTTGACAATTGATGACATGTTTGACTAGGGTTTTGATGGATTATAAAAAAAAAATGCTTAGCCATCTTAATGGGTAAATGTTATTATTCTTTTAGTTATGTAACATTGAAGGAAATTTGATGGAGAAAGAACTTTGGCGATATGGAATTATAGACAAGTGGGTGTGTATATATATATAGATTGTCTAAATATCGTTTTGATTGATTTGAATTATTTAATTTGTGAGAAGTTGGTTTGGGTGATCTGAGAGACTCAAGATTCCGAGAGGAGGGTGAGTATTCAGAAATGTTTTGTAAGATTCCAATTTTTGAAAACAAAATTAATATGGAGATCAATATGAACTGCATAGAAATATAAATCCCAAAATACAACCAAATGAGTTCTAAAAGCATAAATACATAAAATTAAAGTTCTAAACTAGGGTTTCGAAAAAAATCTAGTTCCAGAAAAATAGTATCAGAGTGCACTAAAGTTTGTAAAACATGCTGATGTTCATGCGTCGATGCCAACCTAGAGCGTAGAGTACGCTCCGCACGAACCCGGTCTACAATCCTGACGGGGGAGGACATAAAACAGTCAGCTAGGGAGCCCAATGAGTAGATAATACATTTTATATTAAAAGCCACACAACACCAATCCATCACACGATACAACATTAATCACGATATAATATTTCCAGATGCCATGGAATCACATACCAAAATCATATAAAACAAATCAATCATCACCACTATACCAGTAACCAAGGACCTAAGTCATAACCCTCACGAGTCTGTTCCAACATAGACATGTAGTTACACCACCCACAGTCTAACCTCGGGGTGGTACCACCCATACTCTACCCTCAGGGTGTATCATCCACAATCTATCCTTGGGATGGTATAATCAACACTAGATAACACAAAATCGACCACAGTCTACCCTCGAGGTGTCATGATATAGTATCAAATGGAATCCCATCCACGGTCTACTCTTGGGGCGTTAAAATCCCACACTAGCCAATACCTGTCTGGTGTAATCCCGCCTAGAGCTCATTAGATGTATATCCTGTCTTGTTAGGATATCATAATCGTTCGATAAGACAGACCATCTCAATACACTCATGAAGCTAAATATAATCTGCTAGTTGATGATTGGAGGGGACGAGTACTATAAAAGGTGGTCTCAATCCGAAGGATGCATCCACACACACACATGGCATCCAAATATCGAAACATGTAATGAATCATGTAGGCCTTCATGCAGATACGTATAAGTAATAATATCATATAATACTTGTTTTCGTTCAAACGGACATGCAAAATCCGAGTGCAATGCTTGAAATATCATTATAAATCATCATGTAAAATATCCATTTACCACTTATATTTTTCACTCTCCGTTTAGTCCCAAACATTTTATATTTTGTCAACCCCCTAAACTTTTGAATTTTGCGGTAAACCTCCTATACTTTCAAATCCTTGTCAACTTCCTAAACGTTTAAATCCTTACAAACAACCCCCAAAATTATAACTTCCAAACATGACAGTTACACCCCTTATTCTAGAATGCATAATAAACTAGTAAACTCCAACAATAAATAAATTTAAACATTCCAATTTCCAACAAGAATATTCCGAAGCATATAACCTTCAAATACCCGAAATGCATGCCTATATTTCATTTCAAAACACGCATAATATCTTTATAACCCAGGCAACTCATATACCCAACAAGCAGCCATCATAAACCACAAACTTAAATATATTAACAAATATAGCTTAGATCCATTCATATGAAAACTAGAGATGCATGGGTTGTGAATGGGTTTACTATTCCACTCACCTCTCAGCTCAATCGAAGCTCCCTGCACTCTCCTCCACTCTTCTCTTCTGATCTTAGCATCAAGAACAACAATGGTTAGTTTTTCTCTTAGATTGAATAAGAAATGAGAGATCTACCTCCCAAGTTGCATGCATGAATTACCAGAACTTGGGTTACAACCGGTCTGCTCTTCTTTTCACCTCTCCCACTCTATTTCATTTCATCTCCTCAATTTCTCTCTCACTCTACCATTTTCGACCAAACCCATTCCCCTCATCTCCTCCATTTTCAGCCGAACCGGGCTGCATGAACAATATATTTAATTTTTTCCTCCAAATTTAGTTGCACCCATCCTCTTGCGCTCTAACATTTACGAAAACCAAAAATTGTACGTAAATAACAATAAATGCCCTCTCTCATTTGCCTTCAACCACAAATAGAACAAAGTACATAAAGCACTTAGAACCTCTGCGAAAAGAGAAGTGGTTCTCTGTTGTAAGGATGGACTATCGATCATATTATTGTTTCTAAACTCAATATGCTTTACATCCAAAGATGAATAAACTAGTATTCAAAAGATATTTAAGGGTACATGCAAAATATAAAGAAAAAGTCTCGTAATTTTACAGAGAACGAAAACTTTGTAAATACTTTATTGTGTGAAACGAAATGGTACATTTCTATTGAGAAAGTGACTACATCAATAAACTATCTAGCAGAGGATAAACTATTCTCAAAGGAAGTAGTTAATTCACCGTGAACAAAATTAGTCTCTTCAATAGTGATATGGTGCATACTTGAACCGCATCTTGAAGCTCTCATGATCCTAACCAATTCGATTGCTACCTCTCTCATTGAAGGCCTATTTTTCCCATTTAAGTCCAGACATTTTCTTGCAAGACTGGCAATTGTTGCGATCTCTTCTTTTTTACCTTCTTTCATAACTCCAGCATCAAGGATTTCAAATAGACAATTCTCTTTCATGGCATGTAGAAAATATAAGGCAAGACTTCTATCTTCCTCAATATCAGTTGAACGAATTGGCTTTTGTCCAGTTAAAAGTTCTGCAAGAACTACTCCAAAACTATAAACATCACTTTTCTCAGTAAATTGACTCGATCGGAAATACTCAGGATCAAGGTACCCAAAGGTCCCTTTTATTTGAGTGATCAAATGAGTTTGATCAATTGCAATAGATCTTGAAATTCCAAAATCCGACAATTTTACTCGAAATTTTTCATCCAAAAGTATGTTTGTGGACTTAATATCTCAATGATATATAGGTACGAAAGCAGCTGAATGCAAATAGGTTAGCACACTCGAAACTTCAAAGGCAATTAGTAATCGTAGTTCCCATGTGAATGGAAACTCCTCATTTTGGTTATGTAAATATTAAAAGAGATTTCCATTAGAAATGAACTCATAGACTAAAAGAGGCACTTCTGTTTCCAAGCAACACCCTACTAGTTGAACTACATTTCTGTGACTAATTTGTGATAGTAATATGACCTCATTAATGAATTCTTCAATTTTACTTTCATCCACTATCTTGGACTTCTTAATAGCTACAATTCTTCCTTCCGACAACATCCCTTTATACACAATGCCTTGACCACCTTCACCAAGAACTCGATTGGCATGATAATTGTCCCTGGCTTTTTCCAATTCCTTTGAGGTAAAAAATTTTGTTTTCTCAACGTTCCCACCATTTCTTGTAAATAACTTCTGCTTCATTTTGATTGCTTTCCGTTTTTGTATGAACTTGTACAACCACCGTGTTACAAAGATAAGTAACACCATTCCAAGCCCAGCACTGAAACCTGCACAATTCAAGGAAAAGAAATACATCATAAATATTCGCGAGTTTTGCGTCAATGGTACTAAAGAAATGTACAGTATGTTGAAACAGATACATGTTACTGATTAAATATTTGACTGGAGTTTTTTTAATAAATATATCATCAGAACTTCGTGAAGGAGAGCACCATGTTTCTTCATCTTCACTTTGATAAGGTTCATAACCATAAGGACATTCGGAGCAATCGCTATCGTTCTTCGAAACACAAAGCAAGCCACCTACACAAAGTTGAAAAAAAAAAAAAAAAGTTGGAAAAAAAAAAGAAAAAAAGTTACAAGTAAATGACGATGGCTATAAAGTACCTCTACCTTCGCATCCTACATGGCTGTTTGATCTCTGATTATCGCAAAGACAAAAATAGTCTGAGTTTAGTTGTATTACACAGTAATCCTCTTTGTTGCAATTTGTTTTGTGTGACTTATAAAGTTCCACACATGAACCTCCATATTTTCCCCATTCCAGAATTGTCGGAACGACTTCTTTATGTTGCAAAACATAAGGGTTTTTTAGGTAGTTTGACTCAAGCCAAGCTTTATGAACTATGAAGGCAGAACTGCATTCCCTGGGAAAACTTTCAGAATAAATTTCTGATATGTTTTCATTTTCAACCTTACGGTTTTGAGGAAGGGTGCATAGGAAATCACAGCAATCAACATATTTCGTAGGATCACAAGTACAAAAAGAGTGACAGTGACTCAGGGTTGAATCTTTCTTATTGAGATTGAGGTACTTTTCACAACCAATGGCAGTGAATATATTGTCTGTATTCGGAAAAGAAAACGGGCTTCCGGACAGGTTGATGCTTGAATTGCGGGGGCAGTTGACGATTATAGAGGAAGAAGAACGAAGAATTCCAATTAATTCTAGATGGACGCTGTTTAGGAAAGCCCTTGGAGAGCTAGAAGAGTTGTCGCAAGTTACTTCAAACCACTTATTGAGGTAGCTGCCTTCACCGATTCCCAAAGGGTATGATAGTTTCACATTGCCACAGCTACTTGGACATAAAATTTGTGATGCTTCGATTTGCCAAAGTAAGAGAATGATGTGAAACATTAACACCAGACGATGAGGATGAATAGCCATTATTGATTATCTTTAATTTCTTAATGGAAGTTTAATGGAGATTGAACACATATTTATAAAATCCCTGCTGTAAAACAATTGGCTAAGTGCGCTGCTGCCTGACTTTTAAGTTTCTTGTAAGACTTGTTTTTGTTTTTGATTTTGTTTTATTATTATTATTATTATTATTATTATGATAAAGCGGGTTCAAGCCTAAAAACTAGCTCACGTTCGGTGTGCACGGTCAGGTCCAAACCTAAGATCCACCTCTTTCACACTCGACGTGTCACATCAAGTCCAAACCCATGACCCACCATCACCCCTAGCAAAGACATAGCCAGAAATAAAATGTAGGGGGGTCAAAGTTATAAGAATAATACAATTTTAAATTAAAATAAGCATTTGTATGGATAAAGAATTAGAAATAAAAGAATAGGTATTACTTAACCAATATAACATGTATAACTTGACAAATTGAAAGAACAATACAATTAACAGTACAAATATAAAATATATTAATATTACCTGATAAATTGGAAAAAAATGGGCTTGTCGGCTTGATAGGTAGGAGAAAATTGTATTTGTATGGATAAGAATAAGAAATTTAGGAAAAATTTTGAAACCTAAGTAGTTGAATCACTTATGGGCAATAAAGAAAGATGGGTTTAGGAAGTAGAGGAAAAGAGGTCTGTTTTGACAGCCCAAAAAGAAAAAAAGTGACTTAACTTATTTGATGGATTTGGGTTTTTTTGTAAATTATTTTTCATTTAAGGGTAGATTTGTAAAACTAGTAAAAGTATTTCCAAACTATGATAAACAAGTTTGAGTAAAACTCACTCCTAAAAGCTAGCTCAAGAGAGGAGAGAATTCAACCACATATATACATCATAACAATCTATCAAATTAACAATGTGGAATAAATTTAACTTCTACATTCTAAGACCAAATTCTGAATGGAAAATTAAAATTAATAGTAAAATGTGAACAGATAAAAGTTTTCTTTGGGAAAATAAATATTAAACGTGAAGAGATAAAATTCTCATGAAGCACGTTTTGCTAACTTGGTTAATACATAAGATGTCGGTGCGCGCAATAGTAAAAAATGAACTTCCCAATTGAGCAAAATCCACAGTTTCATCTACCTTGCAAATAAATATTGGGTCAAAAAGATAGACGCCCCTGCAGTATGATATAATAACAATTACCCTCTGAAGTTTCTAAGAAAACAAAAAGTCACCTACTGGCTACTGTTAATGAACTATTAGTGAACCATTAAAATTTATACTTTTATGAGTTAATAAATATTACTTAATTGCCCTCTTATCGTTTAGTTTAACACCTAAAATTTAACAATAAAGGGATTCTTATTAGTTCATAACCCTAGAGTGATTTTTGTTAGTATATCATATCTTAGGGCGATTAATTAGCCCGTAAAATATTAAGGGTCCGTTATTTAATTCCCAGCTTGTGTTGTATTCGTTGCATGCAATAGTAAAATAGTATCATTTGTGTAACTTTCTTGAATAATATTTATGGGTCACAGCTCTTGAACTCTGTCATTGATTTCTTTGCCCCATCCTCACCTTTCTCATCCACAAAGCCATGTATTTGATCAGTGAGAAGAATTAATAGTTGCAGAAGTCTTTGGAGTCGGTGCAAATGCAGAAGAAATTGTTTTGAATTTGATAATATAGACTAGTAAAACATGGGAGAGATATATAATATATTGATAACTGGTTTAAACTTTTTAATGTGCGAGTTGATCGTGTTAATGACTATTAGACTAAATATAATGTTGAGTTCAAACCCATAAATTGGTTACATTTTTATAACCAATTTATGGATACGTGTCCTTCAAGTACTCGGTTTGACTTTGAACCGATATGTTTATCATTTTGTTTACTATGAAATCCATATAACGAAAAATCCTGAATTGAAACTTTCTACATAAAAAATATTATTTTAAACAAAGGTATTTGTGCTCAGACGGTCCGTGGCTCAAGATTTGCCTCCATGCAAAAAAAAAACAAAAAAAACAAAAAAATAAAATAGTGTTAAAATAAATATAAAAAAAGTGTCATCACCCAAACCAACTTCTCACAAATAAATTCAAATAAATCAAAACGATATTTAGGCAATCTGTAAGTATTGCACTATATATATATATATGGATGTGTGTTCTTGAAGTAGTCGGTTTGACTTTGAACCGATATGTTAATCATTATGTTTACTGTGAAATCCATGTAATGAAAAATCTTGAATTGAAACTTTCTACACCAAAAATATTCTTTTAAATGAGAGTATTTGTGCTCAGACGGTCCATGGCTCAAGATTTTCCTCCATGAAAAAAGTTTAGTAAAATACATGAATAAAATACTAAAATAGTGTTAAAATAAATAAATAAAAAGTGCGATCACCCAAACCAACTTCTCACAAATTAATTAATTCAAATCAGTCATAAATATATACACCCACTTGTCTATAATTCCATATCGCCAAAGTTCTTTCTCCATCAAATTTCCTTCAATGTTACATAACTAAAAAAATAATAACATTTACCCCTTGAGATGGGTAAGCATTTTTTTTATAATCTATCAAAACCCTAATCAAACACGTCGTCAATTGTCAAGATGTTAAACCTCTAATTCTAATCTCTAATTATTTTGTTTACACTAGATTTAATTAAGTTGTATTTTGAACCCCCTGAGGTTTAATCAACAAACAAAGGTTCCTTTGAGATTTCAGAAATAATAAAAATTCTCCTACCTTTAGTTAGCCGTTATTGAACCCCTTTTTTTTAAGAATTTATAATATGATAGATTAATAAATATTTACTAAAACACCTCTCTGCCATTTATTTTAATGCCAAAATATATATATATATATAGGGGATTTATGTTATTTCCTATCACTATAGGGGGATTGTTTGGTTATACCTAAGGGGAATTATTGTTATTAACCCACAGATTAATACTTTGAAGTCAACGTATATATGTCTGCAATTTCTTCGAAATGCTTCCCAGAAAAAAGTTTGAATGTTCAACTTGAAAGACATAGCTAAACTGATAAGGTTTTTGTAACTTTGACATTCCAAGAAATTACAGGAGACTTATGTGTTGTTGACAAGGTTTTTGGAAAAATAGTTTCTTTCATGGAAGAAATAGTATTCCCCTGAACATTATGAGAGTGACACCTTAACAATGTTAATATTTATAAAACGTTAAATTTATGTTGAAAGACATGAATACATTTCATAGCAACTAAGGGTGTTCAAAAGAACTGATTGGAGCCAGAACCGGTAGATATCCGGAGTTTGGTTCCGATTCCTACCCGGAACCAGCTGTCAACGGGTAGGTTTCGGTTCTAAATTTTTGGAACCGTTATTGTGCGGTTCTGGTTTCGGTTCCTATAGTTAGGAACCGAAACCGTTCCGAGACTAATATAAAATAAAATTAAGGAATAGGGTGGTTAATAAAAACTTTTGTAAAACAAGTAATGTGAATACATTTATATTTATAATTCATAACATTTAAAGTAAGTTGGTTTGACTTTTGAAAATCTACCTTTACAAAGTAATGGAGTTTGTAATTTTGAATTTGTAATTTTATTTTTGTTAACAAGCGCCAAGGGGGGCGTATTTGTAAGTTTTTAAAGGTTTTTTTACCATTTTAAAAACTTTTGGGGGGTAATGAATTTTATAAGGTACCCAGAACCGGAACCGGAACCGGAACCGTTGTTACAAGTTTTGGTTCTGGACATCTAGGAATCGAAACTGTCGGTTTTGGTTCTAGTTCCAAATTTCAAGGAACCATCGGTTCCGATTATGGTTCCTTCAAAAAATGCAGGGTATTCGGAACCGAACATCCCTAACTTTGAGTGTTGGTACAGATAAGCACAAAGTCTTTGTCCAGGATCAACGTCATTATGTGGGTAATTTTGAAATAAAAAGCCATTTTTAGGATCTTGAAGATGGCTTTTCTTAGCTGTCTAAACTTTGAGTTGAACCTTATTGGAAGTTTAATAAACGGCTCAACTGTGATGAAATCCTATTGTTCCACATGATTCTGCCCCTTCTTGTATTTTACACCCATGGTTTATGTGCTCCTAAACGTCCATGACGTAAGACGTGTGTCGGTAGGTTCACAAAAATTTTCTGCTCCCAGGAGTTTGTAATTGTATTTGATTAATGATCTACATATTGGGCGGTCTTGGAAAATTCATTTCATATTTATATTTATATTTCATAACATTTAAAGTAATTTGGTTTGACTTTTGAAAATCTACTTTTACAAAGTAATGGTGTTTGTAATTTTGAATTTATAATTTGTAATTTTATTTTTGTTAACAAGTGCCAAGTGGGGGGATATTTGTAAGTTTTTAAAGGTTTTTTTGCTATTTTAAAAACTTTTAGGGGGTAATAAATTTTATAGGGTACTCAGAAACGGAACTGGAACCATTGTTACAGGTTCCGGTCTAGGTGCCTAAGAATTAGAACCGTCAATTCCGGTTTCAGTTCCAAATTTCAAGGAACCATCGGTTCTAGTTCCGGTCTTGGTTCCTTCAAAAAATACAAAGTACCCGAAACCAAATACCCCTAATAGCAACTACTGACATGAGGTTTAACCTACACATCCAATTTGCTTATAAAGATAAAGTTTTCAAGGATTTGACAATAATTCAAGATGTTCAGAAAATAATAAGAGAGGGTGTTGAAAGCATACATATATCTTATAATTAGTTGATTGTATGTACATCTGTTGTATGAATGACTCTCTTCAGATGATAAGTTTGACAATCAAAAATTTTAGAATATATTCTACATGGAAGGTATGGCCTGCTGGATCACTTGAAGAAAAGGTGCAGAACCTTGCCAAGTCATGGGAAATGGAAATGATCCATAAGACTCGTATTGAAGACTTCAAGACAATTGATACTAACAAGTTTACTTTCAGCCTCAATGGTATATATAATTATTAACACCAAATAATAAACACTTAAGCAACAATTCAAAAATGAATTAGTTTTTGCCATGTCTTAAGTATCTATATAATATGTGAACATGTACATGTCGATCATGATTTACAGGAAGGAAAGCTCAAACTATTGAAGAAATAAGTAAGCTTGATGGAGGGTATGGCCTAAATTGGCAAACTTTCCCTGCCAAAGGAGTTAAGGGTGTACAACAATTGATGATGAAACTGCAGCTTCATATATGAAGACTTTCTCAACAACATTCCCAAGAGGATTTGCTATGGAGGTTCTCCAAGTTTAAGTGGCCCTCCAGTTATTGCTTACAAGTTAGGCACTGGGTTTCATGGACGTCCTTTAGAGGGCATGCCGCTACTGGGGAGATGGAGCTCTTTGGCATGGCCATGTTTGAGGTATAGTTAATCGTCTCTGCTAAAATTGACTATCGTAATTTAAGTTCTTGTTGTAAAATATATATAAATAATACTATAAGTTACTAAAAAAAATGTATTCTTTTTCAATGTGAAACAGGTGGATGAAGATATGAAAATTGTGATGAGAATAGTAAATTTCGATAAGCAAAAGTTGTTTGACAATCTCTTCAGGATACTATATATCAGAGGGAGATAATCCTTGCCTCCATGAGAGTTTTCATTTCAGTAGTTATTGCGTTGGTTCTTCTGAGGTTGCTTCTTATTTTCTTGCTATTGAATATAATTATCAGAACTCATTTTCTCACATTTCCAACTATTATAAGGATCGGTTACGGTGCCAAACTCGAGTCCAACAGCTACCATCCACTTTAAGTCCTGCAGTTATTTTTTCATTGCCAAAGCAGATAACTTGGGTTACCGATTTTGTACTATCAGAAGAGTCTTGATATTGAAGAGAAGTTAAAATGAATTCATTTCAGGCCAACAAAAATGGGACTACTAATGCAGAATTTACAAGCAAAATGTAGGTCTGTACATTTTCTTCACTCATCACATTTACTTTTGACTATCCCTCAAAAAATAAAAAAAATATTCACAAGAAGACAAAAAGAAGACGACCTTTTTTATAACCTAGTTAGCAGCTATATGAATCCAATAAATCAACAGAAGTTAGTGAAAAGAGATCAATTATCTTGCCTCTTCAAGTACTTGGACTTGGCCACCAATACTCATTTGCTAATTGGGAAAGATGACAACAAAAACCAGTGCACGGTACCCAAACAGCTTCGTTTAACCTTACGGTGGAGGTTCTCGTAGTTGTTCCAATATTCAAACTTGTTTTAGTTTGGCAATGTACGCTTCCTTGGCTTCCTCACAGTGGGACTCAGGCTGAGTTGTTGCGCCACGTCTGTGGCACCTTCTGTTCTGCAACCTTTTTCGTGGTGGAGTTGTCTCTTGAAGGATCTGTTGGCAGAGAAGCAATATCTTTAGCAGAAGGGGCTTCACTGATTGCGCCCTCTGTATTCTTATGTTTTGTGCGCGCAGGATGACCTGGTGCACCGAATTTAAACTTAACCATAACTGCTTGTAGTATCCTTCCCCATGGTTATCATCCCAGCTTTAAGAAAGGAGAGGCGTTTCTGGGGACCAAAACACTGCCCGGGCAAAAGAAGGGCTCCTTGATTCATGTCTTTGATCATTACTATCTTGGTCTCTCGCATTTTCCTCCAAAATACCACAGACCTCCTATGAACAAGCAGAATAAAAAGTGAAAAGCAGAAACTAGGATACAACAGCTCAGAATTCAGAAATCTTAACTTCACCGTCGACCAAGACTCAACAGTATAGGTATTCATCGACTAGTCAAAAAACCAAGGAAAACAATGAAAATCAAGTTACCAGATCAACACAATTAATATAACAAAAAAATCAGTGACGTCTCATTATCACTGGCACATTTAGTGTGCAAAAGGACTGAAAATTCCGGCATAAGAGATTACAGAGAAGTGTTGATAGATTGCTGCAAAAATCTGTTTTAGCACAATAAAATAGTTCCAGCATTTCCCCAAAATGACAAAATCTTCTCCGCAAAATGTAAACAGGGACACTAATGAAGCCATGACAAATAAAGTGAAAATACGTTAGTCTCAGCACAATACTGCACCCTTCTTAGAACTCAAAAGAACATAATAAGATATAGAGGAATATTGAAGCCACCTTTTCTTGCATCTCAGGAATTTGTTCATAGCCTGAACCTCTCTCCTTCAGAATCAGTCATCTCCTCACACTCAAACTCAACATGTTCTTCGATTTCTTCATCAGAGTCACTTAATTCTTCCTGTTCCATCACAATCCCAGGATTGGAATGATCACCGATATCATCAATGTTCTAGTGCTTGGTAAATCTGACAAATGGCCACTTAAAACGTCCCTGCCATAATTTTCGCCATAACAGTAATGTACATTGTTAGTATGTTGAGTTTCCGTTCTCTGTCCAGAGTTTATAGCATATTTGCTGAGCGCATAAGATTCTGTGAAGCCATATCCCTGCTGCCTAAAGCTCTCTTCTTTGTGGATGAAGAACTTAGATGGATCTCAAGTCAGGTCATTAGCTTTCTCATTAGATTTGCTTGCAGTGGGATACAGTCACTGAGTCACCATTTGCATTCTCACTTATTTTCAGAAGTGGGTGGAAATCAATGGCAGATGACGCTGTATTGGGGACTCTTTGGTCTTCAAAGATTCATTAAACAACCAACATGACTGACTTGGCGGGGATTGTGAAAAGACTCAGATTAAGTTGAGGCTGATTTGCTGAAAGAAACTAAAAGAAACTGGAAGTACCAGTGCCAGTGTTCAGAGGATTATGGCAGACGTCCATCTTCAGGGGCCTGGAATAATAAAGGATGCATCTGAGATCTGACTCAGCACTCTTTCATCCTCAACAACATGAGATTCTCTAGGTGCATATTTCTGACACTTTCTTTCACTAAATTACTTTATCTCTTCCAGTTTTATTAAATGCGGAGTTCCCAACCTTACAAGATGAGATATTAGAGGAGCTGTACTTTTTTGTTCAGAACAGCCAACACCACTGCCAGTGACAGAAACATTAGCAGATGATCCACATTGGACACTTTTGAAAGCTGACTGTGAGATTATACGAACAGATGGTGGGAGATTAACAGGAGGCAAGTCTGGTGCTAATTTCACCAAGTGCGCCTTGTTGCGTCTACGAGCCCTATATGGTGGTAAACAGACTGAGACTTATTGATTCTCAATGGATGGTTTGGCTGCTGTCCGGACCCATTAGGAAGAAGTTATCTCTAATGTTTAAACAAGAACGCCCAGAAAACTGCTATTGGGACCACCCGGTCTCCAGTCTGCCAAAAATGCCTCATGAACATAACCTTCATCTGCATATTCTATGTAATCATCTCCACTATTATTACCTCCACCAGCATTTTTACCCTGAGGTCAGCAAAGAAATAAGTACGTAAAGAATATCTATGAGAACATATCCTCAAGACCAATCAATTGAAAGTTAAATTATAAGGCAAATAACCCAATTCCTAGCCCCAAGCCAAACTCCTTTAACTAGATACTAAACATTTCACACTCACAATTATCTCTGCAGTAAACTCAAACAGATACTAACATTTTCACACTCACACGCCAAGGTATGAAAGCAATATAATTAACCTCATAAAAAGCCCACATTTGGTAGCTTTTCTTATATTGTTATTACAGAATTCTCAGAAATATAACTCATGAACTTAATGCTCATTCTACTCACTGTGCTATTATACTTGAGTTTATAAAATCATTAAAACATGATGAGGCAAGATCAAGATCAAACCTAGCTGGGAGAGGTCACGTACTCATATAGCCCAAGCAACAAATATGAGATATAATATGAGTGTGCAAATGTCTTTTATTCTTACAAGACACAAACATAATAATTGTTTGACATATCAAAACTCTTAAATACATGGTATAAAAGAAACATGACTATATGAGTATCACAGGAAGATGTGAAGGATCAAAAGGCAATTTAAAAGTTCCTTTACTTCAAAAGGTAGACTAATCCTTATCGCCAAGATGCCATGGCCAAATCAGCAGTTCTGCACCTTTTCCTTAATTCATACAACCGCCTTTTCTCCTTTTTAGCAGCATCTTGCTTATAAACTCTGAGTTCCAAGGGCATACGCCATTGCCGGCGTAACAAGGCTGGATCCCTATGCGGGACAAGAAATTTCCATACAGACACCCAATCAAGTTTAAAAACCTTCAATCCCGGATAATTAAAGTTGCATTAAATTCACAGACTCTGAATAAGGAGGACAATCAGAAGACTCCATAGAAAAAGAAAAAAGCAGATAAAAAAGGCCCAATAAAATCACCTCTGAATACATTCTATCTCTTTGCAGTCAATGGAGAGGTTTTAAACCTTCGAACATCCTGCATTGAATAACAAGAGTTTAAAAACATTTTCACCATCACAAATTATTGCCCAACTGCTATATGATGATAAATACAGGTTCAGTTATGCCAAACCCTTTCAGCCAAAAAATCTAATTAACCAGTCACTACTTGCAATATTGTACAGCATAACAATACCATCAGCATTTACAAATCACACACCAGTATTGCCTTTTACCCATTCAACAGCTAGATGATTATTCCACTATTAAGCAGGCAGATCCAATCAGGCTGCTTAGAATTAACAGATTATGACAATATATCATTTCATCACTGGTATCTTTTGGAACAGACTTGTTTAAGTTCAATAGATAACAGCGGTATAATAAATTTTTGGTAATCATGATGTCTTTAAAACATATGAAAAGAAATATATGAAAGTACGAGATAGAGAGAGCGATACACAAATTGAGTGAGAAAAGGTACAAACCTAGTGTACTTTAAGAACTGAGATAAGAATAGATAATTTTTTTCTTCTAAGCAAGATATTATTATATACTTAATGGGATTTTGGTGCTTTAGATGAGCAACGATTTTTCTGCCTAACAAATATCTGCCAAACAAAGGAATGTCAGAGTAAATACAATTATCTCCTATTTACAACAGTAATTCCAACATTAATTCAATCCCAAGAACACTACCTTCAGAATACCATTCGAAGAATATTAAACTGATAAACAATGCAAGTCTTGATCAGCAAGACATTTTAAAAGCTAAGAAGATCATAGTCCAACAACATCCATAATGGAAAAATGCAGCATGGAGTGACCATATCAATCAACCAACCAAAAACTAAATTCCCTAAAATTAAAGCTCAACCAGAACATTTTACTCATCACAAAGAAATCACACCTTACCACCAACATGAAAAGATAATCAGCATTTATAATTATTACCAAGGTAAAATACTAGCTCTCATAACTCAAATGGCATATCACAGTTCTGGATCAACTAGAACATGCTATTTCACTCACTTTTAGTTGACAATTGAACATCTCTTTACACGTAGACACCAAATCAGTATCTCAAAAGGAATAATATACAGAATGTCACATTATATCAACAAGGAGTTGTGAACCACAGGGAGGGTTAGCAACATTCAGTATGCCATAAATGTCAATGTCCTCTATCATTAGACAACAAAGCAACAACGAAAGCAAAATGAGAGTTTCTCTTAATTATTCACAGCAAATGCTAAGGCTTTTCAAAGAAAAATTTCAAAGTATCACTGCAGTAAATTTATCCTTGAGTAGAGGAGTACCACACTTTTAATGGATGAAAAAAAAAAAAAAAACAATAGTGAGACCTTGAATGCTTCTAGAAAATAATGTTCATGAAATTTTAACTAGGAAGGGTTTATAAATAGTACTATATATTAATTCATAAGCCACTAGCCAAATAATATTTTAGAAAGCTAGTCACCAGAACACCCCATTTCAGAAGTAAATACTACTTTTCTATACATATAGCAGTTTGGAGGGGGGGAAAAAGATGAAGGCGACTTGCCTAGTCTTTGCTACCGCATATTATTCCTTATTCCTTAGCAGAAAGTGCATGACTTATGGACAAGCACATGAAATGACAAGTTTACAGTTTTTTTATAAATAAAAATTACCAGGAAATGTTGTACTTGTTATACAGAAAAAAGGTATAGCTACCTGATGTTTAGTTTTGCAAGGAAGAAAGCGTTGCTGAATTGCCTTCCAGTCTGAATTATATTCCATCATCCCCAGTGCCAACAATCTGTATTAAATTTCAATAACAGAAAAAATTAGAAGAAACGGTTTAGCAAAGAAGTCAGTCAATCACCAAAGAAAAGGCAAAGAAGCATGAAACTCACTCATCCTCTGCATCAGTAAAAAGCCCCGATTTGCAATGGCCATAGAGGGTGGCTTGTGTGGAAATAATGATGGATTAAAAAAGGGAAAAAACCTCTGCACTAACTTGGAAATTTCCTTAGGGACTAAAGCAACTGATTGCTTTTTGTACTTTCGACAAGTGCAACTGCCAGTGACTTCTTTGTTGGTTGCTCACTGGGAGAAGATGGTACTGTGTTGGTAGATGAGGGAGTTTTTTCTTTTGAAGCTTCAGCATTAGCTTGAGCAAATGATGTAAAGGAAAAGGGAACAAAGGTTCTCTTTCAAAGCAAGTATCAGAACTGAATTCCAAACAACGTTTTCGATACTCTTGGATGGCTGTCAGAAAAATAATTAATCAATGTAACAATTTCAAAGTGAACCTGACAAAAAGCAAATCATTGCAAAATCATGAAGAATAAATTTGATACTTCTACATGACATACCAGTATAAACTTCGTCCAATATTTTCCAGCTAATTTAAGAGGAGCTACATCCAGAACAGATAGAACCGGACCACTTACTGATGGCACCAAAAATAGCCCTTTAAGTTTGAGAAGATGAATCAAAGGCGCTTTGTCTGGGCCAAACTGGAGGACTGTATCTGGCACAGATGAACAAGTGTAAGGAGGACGGAAGTAAATATCAGGATACGGCTCACTTCTGAATGCTATTGCTTCATCACGTTTGTGAAGCATCTCAAAAATCAATCCTTGAGCTTGGGAGGCAATATGCTGGCGAGAAGAATCAAGAATAGAAAGTGAAAACACTTGAATAAGAAGTTGCACATGCTCATGCATTAAACAGTGCAACTGGGCTATCTGATGTGGAGTGAGCCATTGATTAAGTATCTTCTGCTGTGAAGATATGCAGGTTGGAGCAGTCCAGGTTCAAAGTTTTCCCATTAACAGAAGGGAAAGGGACAACTGGCAGTACATTAGGCAAAACTGGTAAGAGGGGAGCAATGGCCTCTTGTCTGTTTAGAAGCTTCTTTTTATATTGTGCAGAGGCTTTTTGGCGTCTATTCTGCCTAGTCTCTGGCCGTCGTCCAGCGCTCACTTTTTCGGTTTCTCTGTTATACCTTCATCATAGTCACTCTCAAGCATCTTTCAAGTCTATCTAAATTGCATCAATATCCTCATCTTCATCATCATATTTTCATTCCCTTGGTTGACACGCATCACCATCTTCACCCTTCAATACAGCAGCAAGGAACTTCCGATACTCTTCTTATCGTCAACATTTTGAAGGTCATCATCATCATCTGTTTCCTGAAGAAATGCCTCAAGCTCATCAAGTGTGAAACTTGCAAGTGAATACCGGCCTAGTGCGCCTACAGATGGCATCCTCATCATCTAAATCCTCATGGGCTTCAACAAGTTTGTAGTATTACCCAGATCTCCTACCATGCCTTATAAACCTCAACCCCACTGCTTATGAGTCATTCTCCTTTTCCCAACAGCTTTGCTTCTGATTGAGAGATTAATAAAGATTTTCTCTTCTTAGTTTTTCTAGGAACATCCATTCTGCGTTCAGTTTTTTCACATGGTCCTTTAGAAGAAACTTTCGCTTGCATCGTGATTTCCTCCTCAGCATGGTCAGATCTCCAAATTTCAGAGCTCAAGCTTGAAGAAGCTTCTGGTGAAGGAGTTTCTTTCAAAAGGGATTAAAATCTACATCTTCTTCTCTCTCCTCTTCTTCATTTCATCCTCAGGATTCATGGACCTATACTGGCATCTGGCGGTGTATCAGTTCACTAACACACCCAACCTCAGTCAATTGTTGATTTGCAGTCAAAGGCATTTTGGACAAAGAAATATACTAATAGCAGATAATAACTTCAAAGATGTCTATAATTGCTAACAGATGCAAGCATCCATGAGAAGACAATCAAAGCATCACTTGCCACCCTGAACCAAGTAAAGAAAGCATAAATGAACAACAATTTGTAAAATACACCAATTAACAATCAACGATACCATGCACGTGCACATCTTCATCCTAAATTGCACATAAATCTCAGTGACATCAACATTTAAAAAAGATAATAATATATTTCCAATCAGCCAACTAATATTTCTACACCAGACATAACAAGAAATCCTCCAAACTCAATTAGCAACTTAAGTTCAAAACTAGACCCAAAAATGAATCTTCTACAAATACACAAAATAAACCTAATTGAAATTTCCAATAATCAAGGAATGAAAGTCACTAAGCCCCACACAATAAATTTTCAAATGGGTTTCTTCCTGACACTCAGTAGAGATGTCAAAAACTGAACTTAATAAAAACCCATAAAAATAAAAATAAAAAAAAAGGCCAAAACCTTCAAATGTCCTCCTATTTCCAACCAATAGACAACAAAAAACAGCACTCATACAAAACCCCACTAAAGTAAACACATTAAATCCAATAAAAAAACCATTATTCAAAAAACAGTTAGACATTGAGAGTTTTTATCTCGATCATTTTCCGTAACCTTTGAGGGGAAGGGGAAAACACTGACATAAAAGTCAGCCTTTGAGTAAAAGTCTGTGCGTATTGAACCATAAAATGGGAAGCTCACTTCGTCCAAAATTTTGGAACCTATTGGAACTAGAGTGAGAGAATAAAAATCAGTTGTCACATAAAAACCACCGAAGGAAGAGGGGTAAAACACTGACATAAAAGTCAGCTTATAAGTAAAAGTCTTGTGCGTATTGAACCATAAAATTGGAACCTCACTTCGTTCAAAATTTTGGAGCCTAGAGAATTAAAAATCTCAGTTGTCACATGAAAAACACTTGAAGAAAGAGCTTCAAATCTGCCCCTTTCCCTCACTTTCAAATTACCCCTGAATTATAATAATAATCAAACTATGTGCTGCCATTAAGAGAGAATGTGCTCTAAACCAATAGTCAAAACGTTTAATATGCCCTCATTTTCACTCACTTTCTGGACAACAAAAAGGAAATTCACATAAGAGAACAACTAAAATACACTAAAGCTATAAACCATAAAACCCAAAAACAGTAAACAATTCCATAATCCCTCGTCTAAGCAATTCTAAAAGCAAACAAATACTTAACAGTTAAGAAAAATAAAAAACAGAAAAACACGCAAACTTCCCCTTGCATTAAACTTTCCGCAAGCACCACGCAAGCAACTCCAGCAGACACCAATTTTCCGCTCATTTTCAGTAACTTTCTCAAGAAAAAGAGAGAGACAATGCTAGGGAAAACAAAAGAATAAAATAGCTCATTCCTCCTTCAGAACCCTCACAATTAACCCTAAATAAACACACCTCAAACAATTCCAACAAACGCAAAATCCCTTCCTATTCCGCAACTTCCTCAGAACACCACACATCCTCCACTACACAAAACATTCCGCACAAACCACCAATTATCCCTCTAACTTTCTCGGGAAACAAACAGAAACAGAAACCAAAAGCGGAGAAAAGGAAATGCTCACTTCTTCCTTAGATCGGTGGCCGTAGAAGGCCGCAACCGTGGGCTCAAGCAAGGCGACGTCAATCGGCTGGCTCAAATCTCGAGCTTCTCGGCCGCCATGGCGGTGAAATGAAATCGATAGTAATCTCAGTTGCAAAGACAACACTGTCGAGAGGACAAGCGACGTGCAAGTAGTAAACCATAGAAGGTGTACGGACGAAAGCGAAACCCTAAGAGAGAGAAAAACGAAAACAAAAAATAAAAAGAGAGAAATTCGAAAAAGGAAGACGAAAGATTTTGATTCGAGTGGTGTGTAGAGAGAGAAAGGAAAGAGAGAGAGAGTGTGAGGAAGAGTCCACAGACTCACAGAGGGTTTTATAGAGACAGAGCGAGAGAGGGAAGAGATGGGAGAGAGCTTAAAATGAAGCACAGGGAGGAGAATGAGACTTTGATTGTGTTTTATTTACGATTTTGCTGCTTTTCTTTTTTTAAATGTTTTTTTAATTAATTAATTTTTAATTTAGAGGAGGATGGGGGTTTTGGGCGGGTTTGAAGAGAATCACGGGTAGCGGATAGAATCGGAATCGGGGGTAGAATCGGAACCAGAACCAGTACTGTGTGAGTAGGTTTCGGTTTCAATTTTTTGGAACCGATACTATGCGGTTCTGGTTCCGGTTCTAGTTCCGGTTCTTGTGTGGAGAAACCGGAACCTGTAAAAAGGTACCCAGTTTTAAACTGTAAGGGGTACCCGTTTGGAACCGATTTTTGGAACCTGTAAGGGGTACCCAGTTTGGAACCGATTTTTGGAACCTATTTGGAACCTGTTTTGAAACCTGGACTACAATGAAATATTTGTGAAATGTGATAATGGAGGGTTTCTATTATTTTACATATAAAAAATTTAAAATAGAAAAAGTTAAATTTTTAGAATAACCTAATTAAATAAATATACGAATACAATTATACTTATTACATATAAATTACACCATATTAAAAGCTTAATATATTATAATACATTAATATTAAGTTTGATTAATTAAGTGAATAATTGGAATTATGATCCAATTAAAAGTGTTTACATTTTTAATGTTATTAATAGAATTATTTTGAATAAAATAGTATATTTGATTGAGTAATAATATATTAGTTATTTACTTCAATATCAAGTTCTAAGTAATCTATAATAAAAGTAATTAATTAATATATAGATAAATTGATAACATTAATAAATTTAATTACTAGTTAATATCATATTTAATCAATTATAACATTACATTATAGTTAAATAATTAATAATTAATTATAATTTATAATATTATTTAATTGATTTATAGTATAATTAATTATTGCATTACATTAATTGATTACTACTTAATTAATTGACTTATAAGTTATACACTTTAGTTATTACTTAATAAATAATTAGAAATTTAATTAATTATAGCATTACATTATAGATTTATAGTATAATTACTTAGTCAATTAACATTTTATTATAAACATTATACAAACTTAATTAATAATTAAATTTTAATAATTATAATAACATTAAAAATTTGTAATATAATTATATAGTTAATCACTATAACATTACTATAGTAGATTATATAATTAATTAAACATTACATAATTAAATGATACTAGATCATGACATTATATTATAAATATTACTAATTACTATTTACTACATAAACATTA